CCTTTCCTGATTTGCTCCCTCAAAACATACAAAGCGGGATTTGACTTCATAATCTTATTCATGGCCTGCTGAAGTAGTGGTGTTGATCCAGGGAACCAGTTCCCAAATGCAGAATGCAAGTCATATGCCAAGTCAAGGCCAATCATAACCCCTGTAGGAGATGGGTATATACTAGCTGTTGTGTAATCCATAAACTCAGCCCTGGTATAACACTCAATATCGTGAGAAACATAATCACCCCACCGAAGTTGAACATCAATCCAATACTCATTGGTAGCCTTCTGATCAAAAACATCCTTGGATTCAGTTACAAGACTAGGTTTTGACATTGGCCATCTGTGGGCAGCAAAGAGAAAGATATCTGCACAAGAACTGTTCATTTTGTAACTCTTCCTAGGATGAATTGTTTCCTTCTGGACAGTTTCAATCTCCAGAGCATCCAACTCTTGATCCAAAACCTGACAAAGACCCATTACAACACTCTCATGGATCTTCTGCCACAAGTCAGCTCTGAATATCTGTATAAGAGATATCTTCAAAGTTGGAATTTTCCCGTGCATGAAAATACCGGTCAGATCTAGCTGCACTTGGAAACCAACATGAACATTGGCTTCGTGAATGGTGTTTTGCAAGTCTTTTATGCACTTGAGCTTGCAAGCTTCGGTGTGTTAATTGTTGTTTCTCTTTGGAGATGATTTATAAATTTTATGAATTCATCTTTATCAATTGTACCTAGTATCATATACTTGTAACTCTGCCGAATTTTCAATGCTTGCAAACTAATATCGTAATGCTGTTTTTGACGGCAGGTGCTGCTGGCTGAAGGATGGGATTCAAACTGTTGCTAATATTGCTGAAGTTCAAATTGCTGCTGACTCACATTCCATAAAACTCATATCTGGATCTGTTTGTCGGATATCCTCTGTCATGTTATTAGCTTCAGCCGTACACCTGCTAGTGTAGTCCTGAGTTTCCTTCTTTATTGTGTTTATTTGAGCTTCCAGTTGATCAATGTGCAACTGTAATGCAGCATCTGATTTCTTTTCTTTCTGCATTTCTTTTGTGGTCTTGCACATTTGGAATGTTTAATGCAGGCCAGGCTCATCATAAACATAACTCTTATTTACGTATAGTGTACTATTTCTTTGTATGCCGTCACTGATGGATTGTGTTAACCTCTTCTTGTTTCTTTCTTTTTTCATGTGAATACCTTAGACCCGGTATCTGTCCTGAGGTGAATTTTTAAAGAAAAAGAATGGAGCTTGGACGAGTCATAGCTGGAACCGTCTCGTAAGTCGGAACTGCTCATGAAGCAAGGCATTAAAGATTAGTTTGAACTTCAATGATCAGACTGCAACCTGCTCAGGAACTTCTTATTGCTGTTGATGTATTTCTTCAATGTGAGGAGGGGCTCCTGATGATGGGTGATTTGATCCTGTAATCTGAGAAGATGTTCCTGGGGCTGCATGATATTGCCCTGATGCATTAGCTGATGGAAGAGAAGACCCTGACATTGGAGGAGTTGTCCCTGACAGTGGATAATGTTGCCCTGACGTTGGAGTAGTAAATCTTGACGGTGGATATGGTTGCTCTACCCTTTGTTGGGGCGCAGGTGGTGATCCTTATGGCTGATGCCCTGCCATTTTATGAGCAGGTTCATATGGTGTATAAGGATCTGGGGATGTTTGAGGAGATACCCTTTGCATTATTTTATGAATTTTGGATCAATGGCTTTGTCTCCTTAATGATATTTGTGTAATTTAAACCTAATGAGGTTCTTTGAACTTATTGATTGCAATTTTGCTGTTAATGCCCCCTTTTGGAATGTGGGGTGAAGACATGTCAAGTGCTTGCATTTTGTTCTTTTTAGTGTGTTGATGTACTGCCCATGATACGGTACGGAAGTCACCATATGTATATTTTCCTGATAAAAATCTCAATGTGACCACTTTTATGGCCCGTATATATGGTTAGTATAAGAACTTGAAAATGATGCACCACCTCTTTTATGCTTAAACTGACCTTGCAATTCAACAGTTGGTATTAATTTGGGAATGGATTGGAACATGGCCACTTGGAAAAAATGGATTAAGACCTGATTCGAAAAGCTTTTGTTCAAAGTTTGAAATAGGCTAACAAAGTGAACCGGGTTCAAAAGTTTAATCATGGTTTCTTGTACCATTTATGTCTATTTCAAATGCTATGGGATTGCGTTTAATTTCTCTAGAGCAAAGGGGTGTCATTCACCAAAGACAAATCAAATATTATATTTGCCTCACCTATGAGGTTATCAACATGTTACATAATAAATCTACATATGGTAATCTTGCCATTAAGATTGATATTGCCAAATATTTTGACACATTGGATTAGAACTTCCTCATTAAAGTGCTAAAGACTTTTGGATTTTGCTCTAAGTTTACCAATTGGATCCTGACAATCCTTAATTCAACAAATCTTTCAACTTCCATCAATGGCAAGCTTGAGGGTTTCTTCTTTTACTTAGGAGGAGTAAGGCAGGGTGATCCTATCTCTCTCCCCTCCTTTTTGGTATTTCAAAGAAGGTTTTGAGTAAAGGTCTCTCTCAACTGGCCTGTCAAAAGAAGCTTAAACTCATCGAAAGTACTAGAAACCATCAAATTCCTTCTCATTAATTATATGAGGATTACATCATGTTATTTTGCATTGGTTCCACTAGTAACATCTAAGTGTTCACCTAATTATTTGCTAGCTATGCTAAAATCTTTAGTCAAGTCATCAACCCCAATAAATTCAATTTATGGTGGCTCTATTTCACGTGCCAATTTCAATCATATAGCATCCTCTTTAGGCTTCAACATTGGAACGCTTTCCCTCTACTTATCTTGTGACCATTTTCAAAAGGAAGCCAAAAAGACAGCACTTCTAACTTATTATTGACAAAATCAAACTTAAACTAGCTAGTTAGAAAGTTGCTCTTTTGTCTATTGTTGGTAGCAAAAGTGTTCTTTACGACATGCTTGTTTATTCTTTAATCACATATGTTTGACCTAAATCTTAGTTAAAGGACCTTTAAGTTATGTTAAAAAACTTCGCTTGAGTGGTGACTTGCAAAGTGAGAAATTGGTAATAATTTCTTGGAAAACAATTTGCTCATCCATATGGAATTCAACCAGGCCTCAGTTATAGACATTGTTGTCAAACTCTAGCTGGATTATTTGTAATGGTTGTGAAATCAACTTTTTTAACGCATAATTTGGTTGAGGTTGGAATTTTGGGGGATTTTTACAATCTTCTCCGACATATACCTTCAAGGCTGCAGTCCAAAGTAGAAAACTACATTTATAACTTCGTGGATCATTCCTCCAGCTTTACAAAATTGGTTTCTCTCTTTTCTTAGCCACATTAACAAGATTGTTATTTCCTTGGAACCTAAATAGGACACATTGGTTTGGAAACATTCAACTTCTGACTTGTTTTTCTCTCTAAGATGCCTAATCATTCACAAGTAATAAACATTATCTTATGGCCCAGTCTAAAGTTATTTGGCACCAAGCTATTCCTCCATCTCATTCAACTCAGATGTGGTGCATCCTTAACAAAAAATGTCAATTGATGATAATTTGATAGTTAGAGGGTGATAGCTTCCTTCTATGTGTAGTATATGTAAATCTCGAACTGAATTTATTAGGAACTTGTTCATCATCTGTCCTTTTGCTCTAAAAGTTTGGTGTTGCTTTCAAAACATTATCAACCAAATCATTGACCTCCCTTCTTCTGCTTCCCCCTTGAAATGGGCAATATAGGTTGGATCCCCCAATATGCTTTAGTGATCACTACAACAATCATTGAAGAAATCAAGCCAAATTCAACAACACTCACTTAATCTACAATGATATCATATATAACAAATTGTTTGAATGAGTTCGAACACAAGACCCCTGCAAAGCAAAACGCGTTCATTTACTACATAGGATATTCTCCTATTGTGAAATGTTTCCCATCATTTATTGTTATTTTGAGCCATTAAGATTTTAAAAAATTTGCAAAATTAATTTTAAAAAATACAACATGGAGGACTCAAACAAAAAATTCTCACGATTAAATAGATTTTAAAATAAAAATAAAATATTGTTGTTTTGAATGAATTAAATAGATTTCTAATTCTCAAATTTAATTTTTCAAATAATTAACTAATTCAAATTAAATAATATTAAATAAACCTAATAGTAATTCAATAAAATAACAACCAATTTACTTCTATTTAATTAATTATATTTAGGACTTATATTTGATTAATTATATTTAGAGCTTACACTTAAAATCAAACATAATTAATCAAATTAATTAAATGTAAGCCCTTAAAAGAATGAAAAGGTGTTTTGTGATTGTGATAAATGATAATGCAAGCTAGTAAAGCATTAAAAATAAAAAAGAAGAAAGAGAGAGGACACATGTGAATAATGTATGTGATAACTGATAAGGGATAAAAGTTAAAGTGTCCTTCCCCTAGAGAAATGACAATGCAATGTCGTTTTATCATACACATCAACCTATCCTTGTAGTACAAGTTTGTTTTCTTGAGAGAACAAATTTTCTACATATTGTAATGCAAATTGATGATAGGACCAACAATGATTTTTGTCGTATAGTACACCTTATAACAACAGTCCCATTACAATAGAATAGGCACTTATCACTTATCGTTTTTGATCCGAGCACACAGAAACCAAACCAAACAAACCAAAACCTCTCTCTCTCTCTGACCCTTCTCATACCTCAAAAGTCTCAATACCTTATCCATTATACTCTACTTCACTCCACTATCCTAATATACTCCAATTATTTCTCTTTTTATATTATCATCATCATCATAATCACACTAATATTAATATCCTTATCTTATCATAAAGAAACACAACTTTTTCTTTGTACTTTAAATTAATCAATATTTATTTCTTCTCTTCCAACATAGAACAACCAACAACACAAACGCAAACACAACAACAACCTTGCCGTTGATGGAAAATTGTCTTCACCACCTTACAATCAAAGGATTCTTCTTCACGAAACCTATTTCTTTTTCATCCTCTTCTTCTTCTTTCAACTTTAGGTGCAGCAACAACAGCAAGGTGATTAAGGCGAGTGCTGGAGCTAGCCACTGTCCGTTCAGTAGTTTGAACTCTCCTTTGTTACCACAATCCACCGTTGGGAATTATCTTAGCGGTGTTTTGCAGAATCATCGTAATCTCTTTCATGTTGCCGTTCAAGAAGAACTTAAACTATTGGCTGATGATCGAGATGCTGCGGTTTCTCGTATGATCCTTAGTTCTGATTCCGATCAAGCCTTGCTTCACAGGTAAATACCATATATGATTGTTACCTAATTAACTCTTTCTTTGATTCCATTTTTGGAGCAGTTAGAATTGATTCTGAAAAATTTATTTCCTTTTGAGTGAAATTTCTTTTGACTTTAGAATTCATTCTAACTTTGGAGACTTTTACCCTGATTTACATAAACTAGTTTATACTGTTAAATCAGAATATAAACAAACTTACATTCAAACTTTTTAAATAAAATATAAATAGCATATACCTGATAGCAGGTTCGATAATAGCATGTTAGACCGGATCTTGAATAAGCTCTGATACTATCTTAGAAGTGTTGTAAGGCTAAGGTGGTGCGCAATTTGTGCAAGTGTTGTAATGAAATGAAAGAATCATTGAAACCTCATTGCATAGTATAATTGTAGATATTTGGCGAAAGACTAGTAACTTGAACTTTTTTGTGAAATTCCTGCAGGAGGATTGCAGAAATAAAAGAGAATCAATGTGAAGTTGCTGTTGAAGATGTTATGTCCTTGTTGATATTTTACAAGTTTTCCGAAATTCGGGTCCCTTTGGTTCCAAAGCTTTCGAGTTGTCTTTACAATGGAAGGCTAGAGATATTGCCTTCTAAAGATTGGGAGCTAGAGTCTATTCATACATTAGAAGTTTTGGATATGATAAGGGAGCACATAACCACCGTGACCGGCTTGAAAGCAAAACCTAGTGTAACAGAAAGTTGGGCAACTACCAAAGTTCGACAATTCTTACTCGCGCGTGTATACGTCGCTTCAATATTATACGGCTACTTTTTGAAATCGGTTTCGCTAAGATACCATCTAGAAAGAAACCTAAATTTGGCTAACAATGATGTTCATCTTGGTCATAGGACTACTAACCTCTCATTTAAAGATATGTATTCTTATGGATTCGAGGAAGATATCTTTGGTCATTTGAGTAACATGCAATCGATCGAGCACGGGCAAGGACAAGGGCTAATTCGATACGAAGAGGAAATTGAAGATTTGAAGTGTTATGTTATGAAGTTTCACCCGGGATCGTTGCAGAGATGTGCTAAGTTGAGGTCTAAGGAGGCTGTGAATTTGGTTAGGAGTTATAGTTGTGCACTTTTTAACAATGAAGGGTTTGATTCTGTTGAAAATGATGATGTTATTTTGACTTCATTTTCAAGTTTGAAGAGACTAGTCTTGGAAGCTGTTGCTTTTGGATCATTCTTGTGGGAAACTGAAGATTACATTGACAATGTATATAAGCTTAAGGATCATTAAGATAGAAGTAAACAATCATTTTGATTCTTGAATGTCTCAAGTGCTATCGTTAACGTTACGCGTCTTCCATTAGTCAGATTGGTCGATCAAATTACTAACGGATAATAGATTCGTATTTGTTACATTCAATTACTATAGTGACATTGTCTACCAAAATGAAGGCGTCGACCAAAATGAAGGCGTGGGATATGTTCCAATGTTCATTGAGCGAATTCCTATTGTATATAGTGAGTTTTGTTTTAATTTTTGAGTGATAATATCGTTATGTTTATATTGTATAGTACATATTTTTATTATCTTGTACATGTATGTATGTATCTATATATTTTGAATATTTTTCAAATTTTCTTTTTATGATGGTTATGATATCATGTAATTAGAGAGAAGAAATTTGTTTCCTTGATTGCACAGAAACGGAGATGAGTTTTAAGATTTAAGTATGGCATCAAAATTAGGGTTTAACTACATGATTGAAGAATCTTGTAAGTCTAGGTCATTTATATTTGAACTTTCTAAGACTCTGTTTCGTAAAACTAGCTGATAGTCTATAGTTTATAGTTGATGATTGATAGCTGATAAGTTAATTTGAGTATTTGATAAATAAACTGTTACACTGGTTGATAATTACAAAATGATCTAAAAAGACAACTTTAATTAAGTAATTTGTGACTTCATTATCTTATTATATTATTATATTAAATTAAATTTTATTGGTAAAAGTAAATGTATTAATAATAATATGTAAAATAATTTTAATATATATAAAAAAATTAAAAATATCATTAAAATATCTAAATTTGTATATAAGTATTACGAGTTTTGCTATTTAATATGAATATATTGATAACAAAATTCAATGAATAAAAAAAGCAGTAAATCATACATGAAGCAAGGGTATTTTATAAAACCATTTATGAGAACATAAAAGTAAAATTAGTCGTAATAACTATAATTTTTTGTTTAATTAACTCATTCTTTCGTAAAATATGATTTTTTTCTACTAATTTTATAATAAAATTTAATAAAATACGTGAAATAATAACATTGTAATTTTGAATTTAGTTATATTAATCTAAAATAATAACAAAAATAAGTTTATTGTCTAAAATTTTATAATAAAACTGTAATAATATTATGAATTTTCTTTATCTTCGTTGATTTAATTGATTATCCTAATTTGAGAATTATAAATACTATTTCTAAATTAATTATATAATTTATATTTAATAAATAAAAATAATATCTAATAAAGTAGAGAAAAATAGTAAAAATCTTCTATAACATTTTTTAAAATTTCCCTAAATTCAATCTTTTAAAATCAATTTTTAAATTATATATATATATATATATATATATATATATATATATATATATATATATATATATATATATATATATATATATATATATATATATATAATAAAAGTATAATTGAAATAAAAGATAATAAAATTAAAAGCTACAACCTCAAAAGCTATTTTAAATAATTTAAAAAAAAAACTAAAAGTAAATTAAAAAGAATTTTTTAATTAAAATAAATTAAAAAGTTAAAAACTATAAACTAAACGCTGTTTTTTAACTCTTGCTAAACAAATTCTAATAGTATTGCCATAAAGTGGTTAGCTGGTGACGCAAGCTTGAGAATTTCATAATCCTAGTATAAATAAAAAAAATTATATTTTAAAAGTTGATCTATGTAAACTAAAACATCAACTATTTAAATACTGTACATATATTTAATTTAGGAGGGTGTAACTATTTTCTATAAAGCAAATGGAAGTACATAAAGCACCCATTAGCACATCTTTAAGACACTAACACTAGTGCAGAAATGATTTTTTACATCGGGCAAAATTGACTTTTTACATCGGGTCTTAGTCCGATGTAAAGCCAGGCGATGTAGTAAATACCAACATTTTACATCGGTTATATGGTCCGATGTAAGAAATACACCAATCACATCGGTTCAATTTTTATGTTTGATGTGAAAAAAAATTATAATTCTAAATTTTAAATATAAAAGGGGGTTTTTACATCGGTTGCGGGGAAAAACCGATGTAAAAGGTGGGTATTTTACATCGGTTGCGTGCCAAAACCGTTGTAAAAAGTACTGTAAGAAAAAAAAATTTCATGCTGCCACTTTTTACATCGGTTCGCTGGTAAACCCGATGTAAAAGGTAGACCTTTTACATCGGTTTGATGTTTCACCCGATGTGAAAAGTAGTGTTGGAAAAAAAATTTGCTGACACTTTTTACATCGGTTATGTGTTTAAACCGATTTAAAAGGCAGTTTTTTACATCGCTTTTTTCATTCGCCCGATGTAAAAAGTACTGTTACGAGTATAAATTATTTTCCTATTTTTTAGTTGTTCCCTGTAACTATTTTGTACCTAATTTTTCATATTTTTCCAACATTACACAGACCATAATTAGGTCGCTATTTTCCATATTGCACATCATATATACCACATTTAGGTCACTATTTTCATAGTTTTGCAACATCACATAGACCATATTTAGGTCATTATTTTCATATTTTTCTCATAAATCTAATTTGATTGCACCAAATATCTAGTATACACATAATTGATTCACAAAAGGATATACACAAACGTACTAACAATAAAAAGGCCGGTTAACCTTTACACACAAATGTGCTAACAACAAAAAGCTACACAAATGTACTACAACAACAAAAAGATTAACCTTTATATAATTCAAAGAAACATGTTGCCCAACGGAGTCGCAAATCATCGGGCGATAGGTTCGTTGGGTCATCAAATACCTACAACACGTAAGTAAAAATAAAGTTATTCTTTGAAAATTCACATATTAAATTGAAAAACATAAAGTAAATAACAAATTAAAGTCATTTTTATTACCTTCATCCAAGAGTTGGTTATATTGGCAGAGACAATATCCAACATATTTTTCATCACCTAATACCCACAATCATTAGAGTTAGATTTTTTCCTTGTCTACAAATGAATTACATAATTAGTGAATACTTATATGATAAAATTAAATATCTAATTATAATTTACACCACACATACATTGGGTCGAAGCCATGTAGCCTTTTTTCTATTCCCATTTGCCGCTTGATGAACCCCAAAAGCACTAATTCAGAAGAAAAAAAGTCTATAATAGTCCCTCTTTTGGACATTAGAGAGAACAAAAAGTCTTTACGTGTAAACACGTGGCATAAAAGAAGAATTGAGAAGTTATAAAGAATGAAAACAGAACCTGCAATTACGTGGCGGTCGGATGACTCGCAATTAAAGGAAAAAGAGGGACACAAATCCTGCGAGAAACGAAAAATCAATTTTTATTCCATGAGACACCACTAATTACTCGCAACCTTTACATAAATTACTACTAGTAAATAATTCCATGAGACACCTCTTTTATTTGCAATTATATAGACTAAATTATTTTTTAAAATATTAAATACAAAAATAATTATATATATTTTATTTTGTCAATGAGTATTTTATTTGATTTTTTACTATCTATTTTTAAAATTTAAATGTTCTGTTTTCTAGAATGTTAATATTCAACCATTCTTTTATTATTACTATATTTTATTTTATTATTACTATGATTTTATTGTATTATTAAATGTATAATGATTAATGTATAATGATTTAATGTAAAATTAAATGTATAATGATTTAATGATTTAATGTATAATGATTCAACCATTATATTTTTAAAGTGTAAAATTAAATGATTTAATATATAATAATTTTCTATGTCATCGTGTGTGTGGGGAAGGATTATATTAAACTAAAAATTGCTCTTTTTTTTTTTTTTACCTATTATACTATTTTAATTAAATGGTTATAAATCAATATTTATTGACTCACATGATTCTTCCTAACAAGAGAATGACTCATCCTATTTTTGGTAATAAATATTTCTATTTGATCAAATTATAGTTTTTTTTATAAAGACGGATATATTTTGTTGATCTCTAAAATCTGTATAAATATTTTGTTGATCTCTATTTTACAATTCAAATTCATAATATATATATATATATATATATATATATATATATATATATATATATATATATATATATATATATATATATATATATATATATATATATTCTTTTGTTATGGAGATTACACTATTTTGTTATGTCATTTAAAATGAAGCAAAACCATTGACAAACAACTATGTCTCAGTTTATTACAAATCTTCCAGTTTTGGATCCAAAAAAAAGGGTGTCAAACAGAATCTAAATTGACAAGTTGAACTACCATACCAAGGTGTGTGAAGCGCCAAAACAGTAATATCAGCTCCAAGATGCACCTTATCACCATTTTCAACTAATAAAATAATAACTATTTCTTCAATTTCAATTTCAATTTTATAAACTTAACTAATAAATTGATAACTATTTCTTCAATATATAAATTTTTGGAACTAAATTGTCCTACTATCACATAACAGTAACCTATTTCTGTTCATTTCTTCTCTACTTTTCTCTTCAATTTTAGCTTTCTCTTCATTGTTTTCACTGTCATTTGTTTACCTATTTCTGTCTAAATTGTATTTCTAACAGTAACTTATAAATCATCTTAGAGATCCGAGATATGAAAATTTCAGTCTAAAGCCAAATTTTTATAAAGACGGATATATTCTTAAAAAAACATGCATGAAAAAAAAATATATTTTGGTATAAACCTGAAAATCCCATGAAAAATCTTCAAACAAATTTGAATCACACAAGAACCAAATTAAAATGAAAAGATAAATAAATAAATAAAGAAAAAGAAAAAAACCTGAAGGAGATGACCGGATACGGCGGAGATCAGAGGGGAGACGGCGAGTACGGTAGGAGGAGCGACGGCGACGGCGAGAAAGGAGGAAGAGATGATGTTGACGGCGACGGCGCGAGCACGGAGGGGAGGGAGGAAAGGTGACGGCGACGGCGGGAGTGAGACGAAAAGGAATCCTCGTGGGTTGTTTATTCGTCGTGGGTGGGAG